TATTACTGAATTAAATCTTATTAATTGTAATTGGTACTGTTTCGGGTGTCGTACTTGTGTTCTTGTATTTCTATAGGGTATCGTCTTTTGTTAGGCACTGTTTGAACGAGCCATACATTTAAAATAGGCGATTAATTTCTCCCAATACAAGTCAGTGCGTAACAACAGACTTCACTTTCTAACGGGAGACCAAAAATGTAGTCCTGAAACAGTGGCGTAGGAAGTGCGGCACTTTTTTCTTCCACCTGAGGGCGGCATTTTGACAACGGAGGGGAGGCGGCAATTTTAAGCTAGGCCCACTCCTGGCTGCACCATCCCTGGCTACGCCACTTCCACCAAAAAAATGTGACCTTCTGGACGGACCGCCCTCTCTTCCTAAGCCATGAAGTTTGTTTGCGTAACTATGAGCTGTGTAGATCTAGGACAGCTCCTCAGTGCGATTGGCTCAACTATTCCTTCACTATCTCGATTCTAAAAGCATCAACAAGATCAATGAGTGCCGACCTTGGCGTGGGCAGAATATTGTAAGGAACCTTACTTACTCTCTGCTATCTTCATCTATATCTGACATCCACTAAAGAAACAACTCAGGCGATAACAATCGATGATTATAGTCTTGTTCTTTATTAGGCTGATACTTCGCTTATACTTTCTCTCATCTCGCAACTCTGACTGCCCTCTACTCATACCATCCGGCCGCGCTCTCCTGTCGTCCCGTCCAGAGATCCCTATTTATACCTCCCCGTCCCATAGTTCCTCTCCCAGTCCAGGTGCCAGGTCTAGACGTCCCAGGTAAATGCCCTGGTCAGATGGCTTGATCCGTCGATCGTGATCCCTGGTCAGCTGGCGCCGGCTGTACCTGTCAGACGGTGTCAGACGGCCGTTAATCCCTAGTCAGACGCCCCCGGTCGAACTCTCCACACTATGAGATAAACGTTCCCAAGTGATGTGTCCTCACTCTGCCTTTTGTCTTAAACTGAGCGTCATCCATTATCCATCTTAAACTGAGTGTCATCCACGACCCATCTTAAACTTAGCGTCATCCATGAGCCATCCTAAATTTAGTTTCGTCCATGATCCATCTTAAACTTAGTGTCATCCATGATCCCTCTTAAACTTAGTGTCATCCATGATCCATCTTAAACTTAGTGTCATCCATGATCCATCTTAAACTTAGTGTCATCCATGATCCATCTTAAACTTAGTGTCATCCATGATCTATCTTAAACTTAGCGTCATCCATGATCCGTCGTTAACTTAGTCTCATCCATGATTTGAGGAAAATCGTCTTAATTTAAGTTGTCGCTTTCTCAAGGGAAATTACTGTCAATCACAGCCATGCTACAACGGTCGCCAGAAGACAATGTTGATATTTTGTTTATCATCATCAGCATCATCATCAGCATCATCATCAGCATCATTTCCCTTAGTCCTTGGACCGTTGGGGCGCCACAGATGACATGTGAACTATCCTCCTCCATTCGTCTCTGCCTTCTGCACTACGCACAGCATCGCCCAGTGTTAGTCCTGTCCACTCTTTGATGTTATCCTCCCATCTTTTTCTTTGTCTTCCTCTTCTTCTCCCTCCTCTTGTAGTGCCCTGCAATATTTCTTTGGCAAGCCCTTGTTTCCTTGTTACGTGGCCGTACCATTGTAGTTTGAGTTTTTTTACAGTCACCAGTAGGTTTTCGTACTCCCCTATTGCCTGGCGAACCATTTCTTTCACTGTATCATTGGAGATATGGTCCCTACAGCAGATTCCAAAAAAAAAAAAATGCTTCTGAAGCATCTCATCTCCATCGCCTTTATTTTCTTTTCAAGATCTGCTGTTAATGTCCAGGATTCGCAGGCATATAGGAAAATGGAGAGGACAAATGAGCGTATCAGCCTGATTTTGGTGCTGGGAGCTATATTTTTGTCATTCCATATTTTCTTGAGCCTCTTTAGTGCTGTTGTAGTCTGCGCAATCCTGGACATCAGTTCGGGCTTGGAGCCTTCTTCTGAGGCTATTGCTCCTAGGTATTTGAAGTATCCGACAGTCTCTAATCTTTCCTCCCCGACCTTAATTTCAGTGGTGATGCCTGTGGTATTATTTGTCATCAGTTTTGTCTTTTCGTCACTGATTAGCATGCCGTAGGACGACGAGGTCTTACGAGACGCTTTACCAGGTTGGCTAGCTCTTCTTCGTTCCCAGCCAATCCGTCTATGTCGTCCGCAAAGCGTGGGTTGGTGATTGTTCTGCCACCAATGCTGACTGTCCCTTCATGCGCTTCCAGAGCATCTGACATAATTCTCTCTAGGAAGATGTTGAACAGGATGGGGGGAGACCAGGCAGCCTTGTCGTACTCCAACCGTGGTCTTGAACCATTCTGCGATTTTGTTGTTGAGGAAGACTGCACTGGTGGCCTTATCATAGAGGTTGCATATCATTCTGGTTAGGTTTGTGTTGATGTTGTAGTGCCTCATGGTGGCCCATAAAGCAGCATGCCAAACCCTGTCGAATGCTTTCTTGATATTTTGTTTGATAAATTAAAAAAAATTGATTCATTGCACTAGTTTCTGGATTTTCAGTACCGGTTTCTGGATTGAACTCACCCAATCAATAGGAGGAGACCTTGGAGGATAACAGTTTAGAGAAAACCTGTACAACACAAATAAACAAGTTCTTTGTTCAGTTTTTAAAATTTTCAGTAGTGCTAACTATAATGGAATTTAGTAATTGCAGTTACTGGTATTGTATTCAAGTAACACCTGATTGAATTTTCATGGAAAATAAATTAATACAAAGTTTGGTACGTTGACTCCTGTAAAATATAAACCAAATTCACAATTTCACATAGCTGCGATGTCTTTTCCTGTTTGCTTTTTAAAATTTTACTGCAACCCAAATTTATTTCTGTTTTTTTAAGCTTTGTTTTCCTTAGGGACTGGTGTCCATTCTGAATGTGACGAAAATTTAACTTGTGAACCGGAAAAAAAAATTCGACCAAACTTCCGTTCGATCAAACTCCGTCGATCAATTTTCTGTCGACGAAATTTCTCTCAAACAAATTATTTTCTGGATACGTTTATTTGTTACATTTTTAGGTAGGACACACATTCAATTGTGTTAGTCTAATCTAATTTATGAATGTTTTTTTGTTGTTGTCAGTCTGCTGTAGTACTATAGTAACTATAGTTTTAATATAATGTATTGTTTTATTTACACAAAGTGTTAATGTCTCATTAATCTACTTGAAAGCTTTATACTTTATTGAAGTCCAGCACTTTTATTTTGGATTGTCAGCAATGAAATATGAATGGTTTCTGGATTCTCAGTACTGGTTTCTTGATTATCAAAACTGATTACTTGATTATTTACACTGGTTTTTTGATTAGCGATACTGATGCTGGTTCATGGATTCTCATTCTTGTTCTACTCCCTTGAACATTGTACTGTTATTTTAAAGAATTATGCTTGCAAGGAGTCATACCAAAAATGTATGAAATACCCTACTCCAGTTATTTTTTAATTTCCAGATTGTCAGGGGCATTTGTGACTGGTCAAGTGGTCAGCGATATATCCATCTTTTTTTCATTCATGTGTGCTAGCTCCTCCTTCAGATGTCATCTGGTCGACATTGTGACATTTCGTACACTAGTCAGGTATGTCATTTGGAGGGAGGGGACATGGGGCTCTTCTTATGATGCCCTTAGATTAGTAGGCTTTGATGTAACTCCTGTACACCATGGGCCAGTTTCTGTTGATGCCCTTAGATTAGTGGGGGCTTTGATGTAACTCCTGTACATCATGGGTCAGTTTCTTATGATGCCCTTAGATTAGTAGGCTTTGATGTAACTCCTGTACACCATGGGCTTTTTTCTTATGATGCCCTTACATTCGTGGGCTTTGATGTAACTCCAGTACATCATGGGTCAGTTTCTTATGATGCCCTTAGATTAGTGGGGGCTTTGATGTAACTCCTGTACAGCATATGTCAGCAACCGTTCTTGGGCCCCCATTAAGATATTGATTGTCAGACAGTGTGTCGGGACAGGGACAGTCGGGAAAGAATTAGTTCAGCCAGGTGGAACCGACCTGCTGCTCACCAGTATCTCAGTTATGGGTGGTCTCAAACAATCACTAGATGTGGGCTCTCACAATCATACAATCACTTGGCTGTGGGTTCTCACAATCATACAATCACTTGGCTGTGGGTTCTCACAATCATACAATCACTTGGCTGTGGGTTCTCACAATCATACACTCACTTGGCTGTGGGTTCTCACAATCATACACTCACTTGGCTTTTGGTGCTTACATTTTTATTTATTGTTTCCTTCAGATATATGAAAGCATGCGCTATAAAAAGCAAGGAGGTTGTCCTTGACCCTCATACAACGTCATCACGTATCTCCACCATTTTCGAACCAGAGTGACCAATAGCAGGAATACAACAAACTTAATTTCATGATGTGACCATTAGGGGGAGATAACAAGCCTTGCATTTCATGATGTGTCCAACTTTAGGCTACATGCCAGCAATGTAACGTTCAACTGCATCATTCAGTGTTTGAAGCAAGAACCCGATTTTAACGATTGAATGTCTTTGTACAGGACAGAGTTAATTTGAGCTGCGTTGGCAAACAGCTGGAGATACAGTGTTTTTGAGGACTTGATGTGGTCAGAGAGACAATTTTAACAGAAACACCATTGTAGTTTGTACATTAAACATATTTATTTAAAGTGCTCACCTGTCCAAGTGTTTTATACATTCAAGTTTGTCTTCTGTTACACTGATGTTACCCTTCAGTGAAAGAGCTGTCTTCCTTGATATAATGACTTGATAGGGTTGTTGTCCGTGCCTTACTTTTTTTTTCTTAAGTGTTTTCTCCATTTCTCTAATCACATTAGTCATTTAATATTTCTTAGTATTTCAAGTGGGACTAAGGGATCTCTTTGCAAACACAGATAAAAAACATGGGCGGCCGCATGCCAACAAAAACAAAGTCAGCAAAATAAAAGTGATGGAAAGCTAAATTTAATCAAGGAATTAAAATTGAAACACAAAATTATTTAGGAAAATTTAAAATATGCCTAAAGCAAAATTATTGCAATCCCCAACATATAGAAATATATTGTCTTGGAGAAATAGGGCATGGGGGGTGGTGGGAAGGGGTGAATTATTGTATCTACACAGTGTTATATGGGTCAAAGGACTTGTAAAAATTGGATTGGAACAAAGTATTGCACTCAAATAACTGCAACTCAGAGGCATCCATTAATACTAGGAACACAAATGTCTTTACATCAACGAATATAACATTATGAAACTGTTGATGAAATCCTAAAAGTTGAATGAACAAATAAAATATAATTTATAGAATAATAAATTTTTTAACAATTCTTATCATCAATCAAAAAGTTCCATATAAACAATCCAAAGAAACATTTAACCAATAAATGCAATTCCAAAGTCTTTCACCCCCCATATAATAGCAAGTAAATAAAGTATCTCATAAAATATAACTAATTTGCATACACTCAAGAACCTAACTTTACAATTCAGTACAAAAATACAAACAATTAAGTTCAGTGCTTAACCATTATTGCTATGCAATCATTTAAACACAGTGCTATAGTCACCTGGTTGTTGAGAAAAACATCTTTCAGTTCAGTGTTTAACCATTATTTCTATGAAAACATTTAAACACAGTGACATAGTCACCTACTTGTTGAGAAAAACATCTAGTAGACAAACTGGTAAACAAAAGTTATGCCATAACTCCACACAAGCACATAAATAAGTATGTCCAGTAACATAGAAAATTGAATGTTCTAAGTACTTTTGCCTAGCGACTGCTGTGATCAGGTGAGAAATTCTGACCAAAAATTCTCTAAGCTTAAAATGGGTGCGAAGAATCTGACTTTGAAGAGAGTATCATGAAGAAAATATTGCCAAACAGTATAAATTTTATTATAGTTTTTTTTTTATCACTAAATGGTCAGAATGCCCTGCATACCAGATTTTTAAAAATCACTCTACAGATGTAACCATGACGATAAAAATACAAATAACTAATTTCAAATAAGTGGATTTTAAAAATTAAAAAACCAAAAAGAGGTAGATCAACAAAAAAAATTACATAATGAGATGGGTCTGTGGGTATATGAGTTTACATTCAAAGCACATCATAACTACCGAATAATAATTTTAAAAGACAGTGAAGCGGAGATGCTGCTAAATAGCACACACGATTTTAAATAGAGCAAATATTCTTGAGACCATTCTTATTCTATTATTTCATATTAAGGTACAAGTAGGATAAACATATATTATTTAAATTTAATTTATAATAATTATATTAATGTTTTTTGTTGTACCGATGAGGGCATGTGCCTAAGCGTTGCCTAATCATCATTAAAGCATATATTGTTTTATTGACACAAATTTTATCTCAATCATATATTGTTTTATAGGATGAAAATAATAGAGACTAAACATTCGTTGATGAAAAACTGAATATTAAAACTTAATATAGAAAGATTGAAAAAATATTTTATGAGTAAAATATAAATAATTTGGCGCAGCAAAAAGCTTCAAGCGTAAGGAAAGGATGAGTAAAAACCCATAGAGCTACACATAGAAAACTCATTGGGCTATAAATAGAAAAGTATTAATAGATTTCCCTGTACTGATATGCATCCATGTAGAGAAAAAAAATCTCAACATTTAAAGTAGGACAAGATTGTTTATGCAAATTATAATTGATTATTTATTTTGTAAGAGTTAAAAAAGGGAAATGAGTAGGAAACAAAAGTGTCACGGTCTCTACAATTTATTTTGATTGAACGGGAAAGGTTGAAGTACAAATAGTCAAAGATTACAGTTACATTTTTAAAACTAACGCTCTGGAATTTATTTAGCAAAAGAAAAATTTCATCCTTCCACAAAGAAATTTAAAACATCACAAATATTCATTGCAAAAACAAATGGCAAAATATAATTGTGGAGTTAACAATGATGTTTAAACTTAAAGACCTTTTGTTGCAAGGTTGTCTTATTATTATGTTTATAAGACTAAACCAGTTAAAAGGTTGTTTTAGTAAACGTTTATAAAATGATATTAGTTTCACAACATTGACTGATTATCTTTAAATTCAGGAATTTCAATAAAAAGGTTCAAACCTATGTAAACAGTAAATGAGCTTCAAAACAATCTCATCTTTGCACAATGGATAATGCTACTGACTGGCAAGAAATGTTGTAATTACATTGTAAGAGCATCAACAAGTTGATTAGTATGGATTTATTTTATAAGTACAGGTAGCTAAAGGGAGATAACCATAAATGAAAACATTTTCCAAAAGAGAGTTTAACAATCTACATTTTTTGTTAAAATTTTTTTTAAAGGTTACAAGGGGTGGGGGGTTAGTAGGCATGATTTGGGGCAGAAATTATAGTTTGACAGAAATCCCTCCACACAAAATAGAATTCATTTTATTTACAGCTGCTTATTTAATGCAAGAATGAATTTAGTAAATTAGCTTACGTACGCCATTTACCCCATCTAGCTTACTTATGCCATTTACCCCTCCTGGCTTACTTATGCCATTTACCCCACCTAGCTTACTTATGCCATTTACCCCACCTAGCTTAATTATGCCATTTACCCCTCCTGGCTTACTTATGCCATTTACCCCACCTAGCTTACTTATGCCATTTACCCCCACCTGGTTTACTTATGCCATTTACCCCACCTAGCTTAATTATGCCATTTACCCCTCCAGGCTTACTTATGCCATTTACCCCACCTAGCTTACTTATGCCATTTACCCCACCTAGGGCTTAGACCGTCCACAAGAATTTTCCATTTATGTTGGTTCTGTGCTTTCTTTTCCATTTGTTTCCAGGTGTATCCCATACTTTTTGTCCGCCTCTAACTGCGTCTCAAAGTATTTTTGCCTATCCACCTCCATCTTTTCCTTATGATGTCTTCAGCAGTAGGCTCCTGGAAGGTCCTTTCCAGGAAGTCTTTGTTGGTAATGATTTTGGGCCATTTGATGGTCAGCATTTACATATCTTATATGTATATAATGGCATTTTATGTGTATATAAAAATGTAAGAAAGATACCCTGCCCTTCACACAACACCCACAAATGAAAATAGAGAAATTCACAATCTTAAATTATGCATTAAAATTTGGATATTACAATATTCAGAGATTTAAAAAATGTTTTGAAAATGACAAAAGAACCCCATTGTTATCCATTGAGAGGGATCAATACTATGGGATCAATAGACAATAGGTTTGTTTATATTATATGTCTCTGATGAGATGTTGTATGTCTCAATGGTGAGATGCTGTATGTCTCTGATGAGATGTTTATGTCTCAATGGTGAGATTAATTATGTTTTCTCTGCTTGTTTAGATCAAAACACAAATTATGTTAAATCATTTAAGTAATAAATTGTGTAGTTTTAAGACAGAGACAGTGTGATTTATACATTCTGCTTCCGTTCATTTCTAGTTACCTTCCTTGAGAAAAGATCATTTAATTGGGCTACTATTTTTTTCTATTACTTTTTCTTATTGCATTGTTTTATTAAACTAGTACAAACATTGGTTATAAAGCTGATTGATACAAGGACAGGTGAAAATATATCTCATTCTTAAATTGTTTTCATAATTTGGAAGCAATGCTTGACATCAGTAGTGTAGCAAGATTCAAATTTTATCTAGGTCAGTGGAGAATGCAATGCGTTTGTTTCCTTCAGGGTCCAAGTAACGAGAGGTAAAACTCAGAGGTTTGCTGCGTTCACAATTTCTTTCCTTTAGGGTCCAAGTTACGAGAGGTAAGACTCAGAGGTTTGCTGACACTTTCTCTGATCGCCTTCAACATACTTAGCTTGGTTTCACTATCTGATTTAATTATGTCTTTGTCTTTCAATTTATGTCCACTTGGAGGTTTCATTGCAGTCTTACTAGCCCCAGCACTTCCTGAACTTAGGACGCCCTGTGAAAGACTGGAACTTTTCCTGCCATCATTGGCCTCAAGTTCCCCACCTGTTGTTTCTGATTTGCTGGACCTTGCATCAGCTGGTAATGCCTTACCCACAGAGTCGGTCTGTTTCTGATTGGCTGCCAGAAGGCTCTTACCCAGGCCTGGTAGTTCCCCCTTCCAGGAGAACCGTTCACGAAAAGCTGGTTTTGTTTCGCTAACATCGGCACTGGAAAAAGATCGAGACTTCCTGGACAGGATTTTAGTAGCTAGAAAAGATGGATCCCCAAAAAGTCCACCTCTTGGAAGCCGAGGTGAAACTGAATACTTTAACGAGGACGTGGATAGAGAAGTGGCTTTTGGTGGAAGTGGCACATCTAAACCCCCTGGGACCTGAGACAGAGTGAAAGTGGGTGACTGATTTTTTATTGTTTTTTTATCTTCTGAATTATTTAGTTCATTAGGCGCTTCTTGATCCTTTTTAATTTGATCTTTATTCCCTTCACTCGCTTCCTTTAAATCTCCTTGTTGTTCAGATAAAACTTTCTCTTTTATTCCATCTGTTTGTATAGATAGAGCTTGCGTCACAGCTGACGCCACAGGCTCCGATCTTCTCCTTTGCAGATCCTCTAGCGCCGCCCTTCTACGATAGACTCTCTTCATCACCTCTGAAGTCCCTTTAGACTCTGCCATGACGGGGTGGAGAACTGGTCTGCCTGCTACAGGTGATGATGATGGAGCAGATGAGTTGACTAGAGATGGTGACTTGTCAAACATCGGGTGGAAGGCAGCCGCAACTATTTTGTCCGCTACATTTGAATGGAGCGACGACGGTTGGCTGGAGACGGAAGAACGTGGCGGGACCTCAGGCTTCAAGGACTCTGTACACAAAGTTTTCGCAGTGTCTGGTAAAGAATAGAAGTCTGTTGGTCTCATGGCCAAGCAGCTGGTAGCAGTGATCACGGTAGGGGCTGGCACACCTGCCTTAACACCCGAGCCTGGGGGAGGGGATGCTTCTCTGACATCCTCAGCCACCCTTCTCCTGCGCATGCCCGGACTCCCTGGGTAGTGTGAAATAAGACTGCCAACACCATGGTTCTGGCCAATTTGGGAAACCAATTGCTGAAAAAAAAACAAAAAAACCATTGATGCTTTTTCTTATCCAGAGATGAAATTTCCCTCAGACAAAATGATAAATAATAAATGACAACTGCCCGCTAGAGCCCTATCAATAAATTCAGATGTTTTCATTGTCGTGTTTGACATCACCTTCAGTGCTTCTGTTCGCTGGTATTCCAATCTTGCCATTTCTTGAGCCATCCCAGGTGGGAGATCTGATATGGATCTGTACAGGGCAAACTTTGTTGTCAGGATAAAATGCTGAGGAGAAGACAAGATGGATCCTCTGAGAATTTTAGTGGAATGCATGGAGAAATTGTCAGGTGATAATGCCTACTTAAAAAAGACAAAGACAAAGATCTTGACATTTTGCTAACAGTAAAAAATTTTTTTTTAAAAGCTGATATTTCTTGTCTTTGTTTTACGTACCTCAACTAAAACAATGATTATGCAATAAGCCGTTGAGGTGAAGCCAGGTAACATGCGCTCCAAGAGACCAGCGGTACCGATGAGAGAACAGTTGACTATTACAGCAAGGACACTTATCACTAACAAAACATCCTGCAACATAAACAATTAGTTTAATTATTATTGTGGTGGTTTTATATAGCGCAGTACCCCAGCCTAGGGCTAGGCTCACTTATATAGCGCAGTACTCCAGCCTAGGGCTAGGCTCACTTATATAGCGCAGTACTCCAGCCTAGGGCTAGGCTCACTTATATAGCGCAGTACTCCAGCCTAGGGCTAGGCTCACTTATATAGTGCAGTNGCATCACTTCTGGACCTATGAGAGGTCCATGTCTCACTTTCACGCATCACTTCTGGACCTATGAGAGGTCCATGTCTCACTTTCACGCATCACTTCTGGACCTATGAGAGGTCCATGTCTCACTTTCACGCATCACTTCTGGACCTATGAGAGGTCCATGTCTCACTTTCACGCATCACTTCTGGACCTATGAGAGGTCCATGTCTCACTTACATACATCACTTCTGGCCTGATGAGAGTTCAATGTCTCACTTACATACATCTATTCTGGCACTATGAGAGGTCCCTGTCTCACTTACACACATTACTTTTGGCCTTATGAGAGGTCCCTGTCTCACTTACACACATTACTTTTGGCCTTATGAGAGGTCCATGTCTCACTTACACACATCACTTTTGGCCTCATGAGAGGTCCATGTCTCACTTACATACATCACTTCTGGCCTTATGAGAGGTCCATGTCTCACTTACACACATCACTTCTGGTCCTATGAGAGGTCCATGTCTCACTTACACACATCACTTCTGGTCCTATGAGAGGTCCATGTCTCACTTACACACATCACTTCTGGTCCTATGAGAGGTCCATGTCTCACTTACACACATCACTTCTGCCCTCATGAGAGGTCCATGTCTCACTTACATACATCACTTCTGGCCTTATGAGAGGTCCATGTCTCACTTACACACATCACTTCTGGTCCTATGAGAGGTCCATGTCTCACTTACACACATCACTTCTGGTCCTATGAGAGGTCCATGTCTCACTTACACACATCACTTCTGGTCCTATGAGAGGTCCATGTCTCACTTACACACATCACTTCTGCCCTCATGAGAGGTCCATGTCTCACTTACATACATCACTTCTGGCCTTATGAGAGGTCCATGTCTCACTTACACACATCACTTCTGGTCCTATGAGAGGTCCATGTCTCACTTACACACATCACTTCTGGTCCTATGAGAGGTCCATGTCTCACTTACACACATCACTTCTGGCCTTATGAGAGGCCCATGTCTCACTTACACACATCACTTCTGGCCCTATGAGAGGTCCATGTCTCACTTACACACATCACTTCTGGTCCTATGAGAGGTCCATGTCTCACTTACGCACATCACTTCTGGTCCTATGAGAGGCCCATGTCTCACTTACGCACATCACTTCTGGTCCTATGAGAGGCCCATGTCTCACTTACGCACATCACTTCTGGTCCTATGAGAGGTCCATGTCTCACTTACGCACATCACTTCTGGTCCTATGAGAGGCCCATGTCTCACTTACGCACATCACTTCTGGTCCTATGAGAGGTCCATGTCTCACTTACACACATCACTTCTGGTCCTATGAGAGGTCCATGTCTCACTTACGCACATCACTTCTGGTCCTATGAGAGGTCCATGTCTCACTTACGCACATCACTTCTGGTCCTATGAGAGGTCCATGTCTCACTTACGCACATCACAACTGATCTTATGATATTGAAGTATATGGATTTCTTAGTATTCGTTGAGAGTTTTCTTTTTCCTATCAACTTTTGTAGACTCAAATACGAGCGTTTGCCTGCTGATATACTTTTCTTTACGCCCTTTAATATTTCATTTGTTCATTCATGGTGGCCACTGTGTTATGTTAATGTATCCACTCTCTCAAAGGGGTTGGATTTGATGTTGATGGTGTCACCTGAATGTTTGTTACGTGGATTTCGTAGAGCTATGTCGTCTTTATTGTGGGGTACTGCAATTTATGGTTGGCTAGATTATCTTCCCATATGGTTGTGTTTCTCTGGGAGTAGTTAGGATTTGAGTCATCTTTTATCTGGTTTTTTAAATTTATTTTTTTATGGTTAAGATATCGATCCGTGACGGGGGTGAATGTGCACATTTGCACAGCGCTACTTCAAGGCTCACTGTTCACAGTGTTATGTAGCATACATTCCCCGTGCTTGAATTTTGCTTGACCCAAATTAGATCCCTAGCAGACGTTAGCGTTTGTTGTGGGCGTGGCCTATTCGTTTGATGCATCTTGTTTACCACCGTGTTTACCAATTAAACGTGTTGGACTGTCTCCTAGTATTCTGTAGAATGATCTCGACTTGCTCTAGAAAAGTAAAGGCGTTTTCTAGACGAGTCGGTAGACCCACACATAAAAAGGATTGACAGGCACAAAGAGAGAGAGAGCGAGAGATTCAGACGGAGATTCAGATAGGTTTTACTAACGTTACGAGACGTGTATTATTCTTTGTGTGCTTATATGTGTTCATTCGAATTCTTCATTCATTGGCACATTGTACTAATTGTGTACCGGTACCAGTTCTACCATACTCTGTAAGTTGATGATTTGTAATTATATTTCTTTTGTTTATAATTGTATTATTACTGAATTAAATCTTATTAATTGTAATTGGTACTGTTTCGGGTGTCGTACTTGTGTTCTTGTATTTCTATAGGGTATCGTCTTTTGTTAGGCACTGTTTGAACGAGCCATACATTTAAAATAGGCGATTAATTTCTCCCAATACAAGTCAGTGCGTAACAACAGACTTCACTTTCTAACGGGAGACCAAAAATGTAGTCCTGAAACAGTGGCGTAGGAAGTGCGGCACTTTTTTCTTCCACCTGAGGGCGGCATTTTGACAACGGAGGGGAGGCGGCAATTTTAAGCTAGGCCCACTCCTGGCTGCACCATCCCTGGCTACGCCACTTCCACCAAAAAAATGTGACCTTCTGGACGGACCGCCCTCTCTTCCTAAGCCATGAAGTTTGTTTGCGTAACTATGAGCTGTGTAGATCTAGGACAGCTCCTCAGTGCGATTGGCTCAACTATTCCTTCACTATCTCGATTCTAAAAGCATCAACAAGATCAATGAGTGCCGACCTTGGCGTGGGCAGAATATTGTAAGGAACCTTACTTACTCTCTGCTATCTTCATCTATATCTGACATCCACTAAAGAAACAACTCAGGCGATAACAATCGATGATTATAGTCTTGTTCTTTATTAGGCTGATACTTCGCTTATACTTTCTCTCATCTCGCAACTCTGACTGCCCTCTACTCATACCATCCGGCCGCGCTCTCCTGTCGTCCCGTCCAGAGATCCCTATTTATACCTCCCCGTCCCATAGTTCCTCTCCCAGTCCAGGTGCCAGGTCTAGACGTCCCAGGTAAATGCCCTGGTCAGATGGCTTGATCCGTCGATCGTGATCCCTGGTCAGCTGGCGCCGGCTGTACCTGTCAGACGGTGTCAGACGGCCGTTAATCCCTAGTCAGACGCCCCCGGTCGAACTCTCCACACTATGAGATAAACGTTCCCAAGTGATGTGTCCTCACTCTGCCTTTTGTCTTAAACTGAGCGTCATCCATTATCCATCTTAAACTGAGTGTCATCCACGACCCATCTTAAACTTAGCGTCATCCATGAGCCATCCTAAATTTAGTTTCGTCCATGATCCATCTTAAACTTAGTGTCATCCATGATCCCTCTTAAACTTAGTGTCATCCATGATCCATCTTAAACTTAGTGTCATCCATGATCCATCTTAAACTTAGTGTCATCCATGATCCATCTTAAACTTAGTGTCATCCATGATCTATCTTAAACTTAGCGTCATCCATGATCCGTCGTTAACTTAGTCTCATCCATGATTTGAGGAAAATCGTCTTAATTTAAGTTGTCGCTTTCTCAAGGGAAATTACTGTCAATCACAGCCATGCTACAACGGTCGCCAGAAGACAATGTTGATATTTTGTTTATCATCATCAGCATCATCATCAGCATCATCATCAGCATCATTTCCCTTAGTCCTTGGACCGTTGGGGCGCCACAGATGACATGTGAACTATCCTCCTCCATTCGTCTCTGCCTTCTGCACTACGCACAGCATCGCCCAGTGTTAGTCCTGTCCACTCTTTGATGTTATCCTCCCATCTTTTTCTTTGTCTTCCTCTTCTTCTCCCTCCTCTTGTAGTGCCCTGCAATATTTCTTTGGCAAGCCCTTGTTTCCTTGTTACGTGGCCGTACCATTGTAGTTTGAGTTTTTTTACAGTCACCAGTAGGTTTTCGTACTCCCCTATTGCCTGGCGAACCATTTCTTTCACTGTATCATTGGAGATATGGTCCCTACAGCAGATTCCAAAAAAAAAAAAATGCTTCTGAAGCATCTCATCTCCATCGCCTTTATTTTCTTTTCAAGATCTGCTGTTAATGTCCAGGATTCGCAGGCATATAGGAAAATGGAGAGGACAAATGAGCGTATCAGCCTGATTTTGGTGCTGGGAGCTATATTTTTGTCATTCCATATTTTCTTGAGCCTCTTTAGTGCTGTTGTAGTCTGCGCAATCCTGGACATCAGTTCGGGCTTGGAGCCTTCTTCTGAGGCTATTGCTCCTAGGTATTTGAAGTATCCGACAGTCTCTAATCTTTCCTCCCCGACCTTAATTTCAGTGGTGATGCCTGTGGTATTATTTGTCATCAGTTTTGTCTTTTCGTCACTGATTAGCATGCCGTAGGACGACGAGGTCTTACGAGACGCTTTACCAGGTTGGCTAGCTCTTCTTCGTTCCCAGCCAATCCGTCTATGTCGTCCGCAAAGCGTGGGTTGGTGATTGTTCTGCCACCAATGCTGACTGTCCCTTCATGCGCTTCCAGAGCATCTGACATAATTCTCTCTAGGAAGATGTTGAACAGGATGGGGGGAGACCAGGCAGCCTTGTCGTACTCCAACCGTGGTCTTGAACCATTCTGCGATTTTGTTGTTGAGGAAGACTGCACTGGTGGCCTTATCATAGAGGTTGCATATCATTCTGGTTAGGTTTGTGTTGATGTTGTAGTGCCTCATGGTGGCCCATAAAGCAGCATGCCAAACCCTGTCGAATGCTTTCTTGATATTTTGTTTGATAAATTAAAAAAAATTGATTCATTGCACTAGTTTCTGGATTTTCAGTACCGGTTTCTGGATTGAACTCACCCAATCAATAGGAGGAGACCTTGGAGGATAACAGTTTAGAGAAAACCTGTACAACACAAATAAACAAGTTCTTTGTTCAGTTTTTAAAATTTTCAGTAGTGCTAACTATAATGGAATTTAGTAATTGCAGTTACTGGTATTGTATTCAAGTAACACCTGATTGAATTTTCATGGAAAATAAATTAATACAAAGTTTGGTACGTTGACTCCTGTAAAATATAAACCAAATTCACAATTTCACATAGCTGCGATGTCTTTTCCTGTTTGCTTTTTAAAATTTTACTGCAACCCAAATTTATTTCTGTTTTTTTAAGCTTTGTTTTCCTTAGGGACTGGTGTCCATTCTGAATGTGACGAAAATTTAACTTGTGAACCGGAAAAAAAAATTCGACCAAACTTCCGTTCGATCAAACTCCGTCGATCAATTTTCTGTCGACGAAATTTCTCTCAAACAAATTATTTTCTGGATACGTTTATTTGTTACATTTTTAGGTAGGACACACATTCAATTGTGTTAGTCTAATCTAATTTATGAATGTTTTTTTGTTGTTGTCAGTCTGCTGTAGTACTATAGTAACTATAGTTTTAATATAATGTATTGTTTTATTTACACAAAGTGTTAATGTCTCATTAATCTACTTGAAAGCTTTATACTTTATTGAAGTCCAGCACTTTTATTTTGGATTGTCAGCAATGAAATATGAATGGTTTCTGGATTCTCAGTACTGGTTTCTTGATTATCAAAACTGATTACTTGATTATTTACACTGGTTTTTTGATTAGCGATACTGATGCTGGTTCATGGATTCTCATTCTTGTTCTACTCCCTTGAACATTGTACTGTTATTTTAAAGAATTATGCTTGCAAGGAGTCATACCAAAAATGTATGAAATACCCTACTCCAGTTATTTTTTAATTTCCAGATTGTCAGGGGCATTTGTGACTGGTCAAGTGGTCAGCGATATATCCATCTTTTTTTCATTCATGTGTGCTAGCTCCTCCTTCAGATGTCATCTGGTCGACATTGTGACATTTCGTACACTAGTCAGGTATGTCATTTGGAGGGAGGGGACATGGGGCTCTTCTTATGATGCCCTTAGATTAGTAGGCTTTGATGTAACTCCTGTACACCATGGGCCAGTTTCTGTTGATGCCCTTAGATTAGTGGGGGCTTTGATGTAACTCCTGTACATCATGGGTCAGTTTCTTATGATGCCCTTAGATTAGTAGGCTTTGATGTAACTCCTGTACACCATGGGCTTTTTTCTTATGATGCCCTTACATTCGTGGGCTTTGATGTAACTCCAGTACATCATGGGTCAGTTTCTTATGATGCCCTTAGATTAGTGGGGGCTTTGATGTAACTCCTGTACAGCATATGTCAGCAACCGTTCTTGGGCCCCCATTAAGATATTGATTGTCAGACAGTGTGTCGGGACAGGGACAGTCGGGAAAGAATTAGTTCAGCCAGGTGGAACCGACCTGCTGCTCACCAGTATCTCAGTTATGGGTGGTCTCAAACAATCACTAGATGTGGGCTCTCACAATCATACAATCACTTGGCTGTGGGTTCTCACAATCATACAATCACTTGGCTGTGGGTTCTCACAATCATACAATCACTTGGCTGTGGGTTCTCACAATCATACACTCACTTGGCTGTGGGTTCTCACAATCATACACTCACTTGGCTTTTGGTGCTTACATTTTTATTTATTGTTTCCTTCAGATATATGAAAGCATGCGCTATAAAAAGCAAGGAGGTTGTCCTTGACCCTCATACAACGTCATCACGTATCTCCACCATTTTCGAACCAGAGTGACCAATAGCAGGAATACAACAAACTTAATTTCATGATGTGACCATTAGGGGGAGATAACAAGCCTTGCATTTCATGATGTGTCCAACTTTAGGCTACATGCCAGCAATGTAACGTTCAACTGCATCATTCAGTGTTTGAAGCAAGAACCCGATTTTAACGATTGAATGTCTTTGTACAGGACAGAGTTAATTTGAGCTGCGTTGGCAAACAGCTGGAGATACAGTGTTTTTGAGGACTTGATGTGGTCAGAGAGACAATTTTAACAGAAACACCATTGTAGTTTGTACATTAAACATATTTATTTAAAGTGCTCACCTGTCCAAGTGTTTTATACATTCAAGTTTGTCTTCTGTTACACTGATGTTACCCTTCAGTGAAAGAGCTGTCTTCCTTGATATAATGACTTGATAGGGTTGTTGTCCGTGCCTTACTTTTTTTTTCTTAAGTGTTTTCTCCATTTCTCTAATCACATTAGTCATTTAATATTTCTTAGTATTTCAAGTGGGACTAAGGGATCTCTTTGCAAACACAGATAAAAAACATGGGCGGCCGCATGCCAACAAAAACAAAGTCAGCAAAATAAAAGTGATGGAAAGCTAAATTTAATCAAGGAATTAAAATTGAAACACAAAATTATTTAGGAAAATTTAAAATATGCCTAAAGCAAAATTATTGCAATCCCCAACATATAGAAATATATTGTCTTGGAGAAATAGGGCATGGGGGGTGGTGGGAAGGGGTGAATTATTGTATCTACACAGTGTTATATGGGTCAAAGGACTTGTAAAAATTGGATTGGAACAAAGTATTGCACTCAAATAACTGCAACTCAGAGGCATCCATTAATACTAGGAACACAAATGTCTTTACATCAACGAATATAACATTATGAAACTGTTGATGAAATCCTAAAAGTTGAATGAACAAATAAAATATAATTTATAGAATAATAAATTTTTTAACAATTCTTATCATCAATCAAAAAGTTCCATATAAACAATCCAAAGAAACATTTAACCAATAAATGCAATTCCAAAGTCTTTCACCCCCCATATAATAGCAAGTAAATAAAGTATCTCATAAAATATAACTAATTTGCATACACTCAAGAACCTAACTTTACAATTCAGTACAAAAATACAAACAATTAAGTTCAGTGCTTAACCATTATTGCTATGCAATCATTTAAACACAGTGCTATAGTCACCTGGTTGTTGAGAAAAACATCTTTCAGTTCAGTGTTTAACCATTATTTCTATGAAAACATTTAAACACAGTGACATAGTCACCTACTTGTTGAGAAAAACATCTAGTAGACAAACTGGTAAACAAAAGTTATGCCATAACTCCACACAAGCACATAAATAAGTATGTCCAGTAACATAGAAAATTGAATGTTCTAAGTACTTTTGCCTAGCGACTGCTGTGATCAGGTGAGAAATTCTGACCAAAAATTCTCTAAGCTTAAAATGGGTGCGAAGAATCTGACTTTGAAGAGAGTATCATGAAGAAAATATTGCCAAACAGTATAAATTTTATTATAGTTTTTTTTTTATCACTAAATGGTCAGAATGCCCTGCATACCAGATTTTTAAAAATCACTCTACAGATGTAACCATGACGATAAAAATACAAATAACTAATTTCAAATAAGTGGATTTTAAAAATTAAAAAACCAAAAAGAGGTAGATCAACAAAAAAAATTACATAATGAGATGGGTCTGTGGGTATATGAGTTTACATTCAAAGCACATCATAACTACCGAATAATAATTTTAAAAGACAGTGAAGCGGAGATGCTGCTAAATAGCACACACGATTTTAAATAGAGCAAATATTCTTGAGACCATTCTTATTCTATTATTTCATATTAAGGTACAAGTAGGATAAACATATATTATTTAAATTTAATTTATAATAATTATATTAATGTTTTTTGTTGTACCGATGAGGGCATGTGCCTAAGCGTTGCCTAATCATCATTAAAGCATATATTGTTTTATTGACACAAATTTTATCTCAATCATATATTGTTTTATAGGATGAAAATAATAGAGACTAAACATTCGTTGATGAAAAACTGAATATTAAAACTTAATATAGAAAGATTGAAAAAATATTTTATGAGTAAAATATAAATAATTTGGCGCAGCAAAAAGCTTCAAGCGTAAGGAAAGGATGAGTAAAAACCCATAGAGCTACACATAGAAAACTCATTGGGCTATAAATAGAAAAGTATTAATAGATTTCCCTGTACTGATATGCATCCATGTAGAGAAAAAAAATCTCAACATTTAAAGTAGGACAAGATTGTTTATGCAAATTATAATTGATTATTTATTTTGTAAGAGTTAAAAAAGGGAAATGAGTAGGAAACAAAAGTGTCACGGTCTCTACAATTTATTTTGATTGAACGGGAAAGGTTGAAGTACAAATAGTCAAAGATTACAGTTACATTTTTAAAACTAACGCTCTGGAATTTATTTAGCAAAAGAAAAATTTCATCCTTCCACAAAGAAATTTAAAACATCACAAATATTCATTGCAAAAACAAATGGCAAAATATAATTGTGGAGTTAACAATGATGTTTAAACTTAAAGACCTTTTGTTGCAAGGTTGTCTTATTATTATGTTTATAAGACTAAACCAGTTAAAAGGTTGTTTTAGTAAACGTTTATAAAATGATATTAGTTTCACAACATTGACTGATTATCTTTAAATTCAGGAATTTCAATAAAAAGGTTCAAACCTATGTAAACAGTAAATGAGCTTCAAAACAATCTCATCTTTGCACAATGGATAATGCTACTGACTGGCAAGAAATGTTGTAATTACATTGTAAGAGCATCAACAAGTTGATTAGTATGGATTTATTTTATAAGTACAGGTAGCTAAAGGGAGATAACCATAAATGAAAACATTTTCCAAAAGAGAGTTTAACAATCTACATTTTTTGTTAAAATTTTTTTTAAAGGTTACAAGGGGTGGGGGGTTAGTAGGCATGATTTGGGGCAGAAATTATAGTTTGACAGAAATCCCTCCACACAAAATAGAATTCATTTTATTTACAGCTGCTTATTTAATGCAAGAATGAATTTAGTAAATTAGCTTACGTACGCCATTTACCCCATCTAGCTTACTTATGCCATTTACCCCTCCTGGCTTACTTATGCCATTTACCCCACCTAGCTTACTTATGCCATTTACCCCACCTAGCTTAATTATGCCATTTACCCCTCCTGGCTTACTTATGCCATTTACCCCACCTAGCTTACTTATGCCATTTACCCCCACCTGGTTTACTTATGCCATTTACCCCACCTAGCTTAATTATGCCATTTACCCCTCCAGGCTTACTTATGCCATTTACCCCACCTAGCTTACTTATGCCATTTACCCCACCTAGGGCTTAGACCGTCCACAAGAATTTTCCATTTATGTTGGTTCTGTGCTTTCTTTTCCATTTGTTTCCAGGTGTATCCCATACTTTTTGTCCGCCTCTAACTGCGTCTCAAAGTATTTTTGCCTATCCACCTCCATCTTTTCCTTATGATGTCTTCAGCAGTAGGCTCCTGGAAGGTCCTTTCCAGGAAGTCTTTGTTGGTAATGATTTTGGGCCATTTGATGGTCAGCATTTACATATCTTATATGTATATAATGGCATTTTATGTGTATATAAAAATGTAAGAAAGATACCCTGCCCTTCACACAACACCCACAAATGAAAATAGAGAAATTCACAATCTTAAATTATGCATTAAAATTTGGATATTACAATATTCAGAGATTTAAAAAATGTTTTGAAAATGACAAAAGAACCCCATTGTTATCCATTGAGAGGGATCAATACTATGGGATCAATAGACAATAGGTTTGTTTATATTATATGTCTCTGATGAGATGTTGTATGTCTCAATGGTGAGATGCTGTATGTCTCTGATGAGATGTTTATGTCTCAATGGTGAGATTAATTATGTTTTCTCTGCTTGTTTAGATCAAAACACAAATTATGTTAAATCATTTAAGTAATAAATTGTGTAGTTTTAAGACAGAGACAGTGTGATTTATACATTCTGCTTCCGTTCATTTCTAGTTACCTTCCTTGAGAAAAGATCATTTAATTGGGCTACTATTTTTTTCTATTACTTTTTCTTATTGCATTGTTTTATTAAACTAGTACAAACATTGGTTATAAAGCTGATTGATACAAGGACAGGTGAAAATATATCTCATTCTTAAATTGTTTTCATAATTTGGAAGCAATGCTTGACATCAGTAGTGTAGCAAGATTCAAATTTTATCTAGGTCAGTGGAGAATGCAATGCGTTTGTTTCCTTCAGGGTCCAAGTAACGAGAGGTAAAACTCAGAGGTTTGCTGCGTTCACAATTTCTTTCCTTTAGGGTCCAAGTTACGAGAGGTAAGACTCAGAGGTTTGCTGACACTTTCTCTGATCGCCTTCAACATACTTAGCTTGGTTTCACTATCTGATTTAATTATGTCTTTGTCTTTCAATTTATGTCCACTTGGAGGTTTCATTGCAGTCTTACTAGCCCCAGCACTTCCTGAACTTAGGACGCCCTGTGAAAGACTGGAACTTTTCCTGCCATCATTGGCCTCAAGTTCCCCACCTGTTGTTTCTGATTTGCTGGACCTTGCATCAGCTGGTAATGCCTTACCCACAGAGTCGGTCTGTTTCTGATTGGCTGCCAGAAGGCTCTTACCCAGGCCTGGTAGTTCCCCCTTCCAGGAGAACCGTTCACGAAAAGCTGGTTTTGTTTCGCTAACATCGGCACTGGAAAAAGATCGAGACTTCCTGGACAGGATTTTAGTAGCTAGAAAAGATGGATCCCCAAAAAGTCCACCTCTTGGAAGCCGAGGTGAAACTGAATACTTTAACGAGGACGTGGATAGAGAAGTGGCTTTTGGTGGAAGTGGCACATCTAAACCCCCTGGGACCTGAGACAGAGTGAAAGTGGGTGACTGATTTTTTATTGTTTTTTTATCTTCTGAATTATTTAGTTCATTAGGCGCTTCTTGATCCTTTTTAATTTGATCTTTATTCCCTTCACTCGCTTCCTTTAAATCTCCTTGTTGTTCAGATAAAACTTTCTCTTTTATTCCATCTGTTTGTATAGATAGAGCTTGCGTCACAGCTGACGCCACAGGCTCCGATCTTCTCCTTTGCAGATCCTCTAGCGCCGCCCTTCTACGATAGACTCTCTTCATCACCTCTGAAGTCCCTTTAGACTCTGCCATGACGGGGTGGAGAACTGGTCTGCCTGCTACAGGTGATGATGATGGAGCAGATGAGTTGACTAGAGATGGTGACTTGTCAAACATCGGGTGGAAGGCAGCCGCAACTATTTTGTCCGCTACATTTGAATGGAGCGACGACGGTTGGCTGGAGACGGAAGAACGTGGCGGGACCTCAGGCTTCAAGGACTCTGTACACAAAGTTTTCGCAGTGTCTGGTAAAGAATAGAAGTCTGTTGGTCTCATGGCCAAGCAGCTGGTAGCAGTGATCACGGTAGGGGCTGGCACACCTGCCTTAACACCCGAGCCTGGGGGAGGGGATGCTTCTCTGACATCCTCAGCCACCCTTCTCCTGCGCATGCCCGGACTCCCTGGGTAGTGTGAAATAAGACTGCCAACACCATGGTTCTGGCCAATTTGGGAAACCAATTGCTGAAAAAAAAACAAAAAAACCATTGATGCTTTTTCTTATCCAGAGATGAAATTTCCCTCAGACAAAATGATAAATAATAAATGACAACTGCCCGCTAGAGCCCTATCAATAAATTCAGATGTTTTCATTGTCGTGTTTGACATCACCTTCAGTGCTTCTGTTCGCTGGTATTCCAATCTTGCCATTTCTTGAGCCATCCCAGGTGGGAGATCTGATATGGATCTGTACAGGGCAAACTTTGTTGTCAGGATAAAATGCTGAGGAGAAGACAAGATGGATCCTCTGAGAATTTTAGTGGAATGCATGGAGAAATTGTCAGGTGATAATGCCTACTTAAAAAAGACAAAGACAAAGATCTTGACATTTTGCTAACAGTAAAAAATTTTTTTTTAAAAGCTGATATTTCTTGTCTTTGTTTTACGTACCTCAACTAAAACAATGATTATGCAATAAGCCGTTGAGGTGAAGCCAGGTAACATGCGCTCCAAGAGACCAGCGGTACCGATGAGAGAACAGTTGACTATTACAGCAAGGACACTTATCACTAACAAAACATCCTGCAACATAAACAATTAGTTTAATTATTATTGTGGTGGTTTTATATAGCGCAGTACCCCAGCCTAGGGCTAGGCTCACTTATATAGCGCAGTACTCCAGCCTAGGGCTAGGCTCACTTATATAGCGCAGTACTCCAGCCTAGGGCTAGGCTCACTTATATAGCGCAGTACTCCAGCCTAGGGCTAGGCTCACTTATATAGTGCAGTGCTCCAGCCTAGGGCTAGGCTCACTTATATAGCGCAGTGCTCCAGCCTAGGGCTAGGCTCACTTATATAGTGCAGTGCTCCAGCCTAGGGCTAGGCTCACTTATATAGCGCAGTGCTCCAGCCTAGGGCTAGGCTCACTTATATAGCGCAGTGCTCCAGCCTAGGGCTAGGCTCACTTATATAGAGCAGTGCTCCAGCCTAGGGCTAGGCTCACTTATATAGAGCAGTGCTCCAGCCTAGGGCTAGGCTCACTTATATAGTGCAGTGCTCCAGCCTAGGGCTAGGCTCACTTATATAGCGCAGTGCTCCAGCCTAGGGCTAGGCTCACTTATATAGAGCAGTGCTCCAGCCTAGGGCTAGGCTCACTTATATAGTGCAGTGCTCCAGCCTAGGGCTAGGCTCACTTATATAGAGCAGTGCTCCAGCCTAGGGCTAGGCTCACTTATATAGCGCAGTGCTCCAGCCTAGGGCTAGGCTCACTTATATAGTGCAGTGCTCCAGCCTAGGGCTAGGCTCACTTATATAGTGCAGTGCTCCAGCCTAGGGCTAGGCTCACTTATATAGTGCAGTGCTCCAGCCTAGGGCTAGGCTCACTGCGCTTCACATAAAAATGAGCAATTACAGAAAATTATACATTTAAAAACAACAATTTGCGAAAAGCTTGGCCTCAACCACCCAAGTACTATCTACCCCTGTCTAGCCATGGACAGCACCCAGCAGCATCCAGCATTGTTTATCAGTTGAGGGGTGTGAGAATGAGTTTTAACACAGCTCCCAGGAGATAAGTGAGAACAACTGGCCCCCAGGAGATAACTGAGAACAACCGGCCCCCAGGAGATAAATGAGAACAACCGGCCCCCCAGGAGCAAACTGAGAACAACCGGCCCCCAGGAGATAAGTGAGAACAAAGTCATCATTTAAATTTAACTACTCTGAAAACTGGATCCATAGAATTAGAGAGTTGGTGAATAGTTATTTTTATGGCTCTGCTATGGCTGGCCCAACTATGGCTCTACTAATCTGTGTTGTAAGATTGGAATGAATTTTGGTAGAGTTTTGTGCTAAGACTGACTTAAATTAATACCTTGAAACCTGCAAACAAAAGTTTTGGTCAGATACATCAGGTTGTTTTTCAGGACAATAGTTGGAGACTGAAAGCAGCATTTACAAGGAATGAGCTGGTTTTTAAGCTCAGATTTTTTCATAAATAATTTAGTTGATGGACATTAGCATTGTTTAGACATTACACAAGGGAGGGTAACATGCCAGTTATGTGAGCATTCAGTAAACAGCATCTGAGATATGGCTAATGAGGATCAACATAAAAAACACAATTAGGAATCAAGTGTTCCTTTGTGGACAAACAAATCATCGATTCTTTTAGTCCTAATATTTTATGTTAATTCCTTTGGGAAATAAGATTACCCAATAATATTTTAGTTCAAAATGGTCATTTGGTTAACAGACCAAAGCTTAGAGTCCACATGGAACCCTACCTGCCAATCGACAAATACTGTCAACATCCTGTCCACATGGAACCCTACCTGTCATACACTAATACTGTCAAAATCCTGTCCACATGGAACCCTACCTGCCATCGACAAATACTGTCAACATCCTGTCCACATGGAACCCTACCTGTCATACACAAATACAGTCAACATCCTGTCCACATGGAACCCTACCTGCCATACACAAATACTGTCAACATCATGTCCACATGGAACCCTACCTGTCATACACAAATACAGTCAACATCCTGTCCACATGGAACCCTACCTGTCATACACAAATACTGTCATCATACTGTCCACATGGAACCCTACCTGTCATACACAAATACTGTCAACATCCTGTCTACATGGAACCCTACCTGTCATATACAAATACTGTCAACATCCTGTCCACATGGAACCCTACCTGTCATACACAAATACTATCAACATCCTGTCCACATGGAACCCTACCTGTCATACACAAATACTGTCAACATCCTGTCCACATGGAACCCTACATGTCATACACAAATAGTGTCTACATACTGTCCACATGGAACCCTACCTGTCATACACAAATACTGTCAACATCCTGTCTACATGGAACCCTACCTGTCATACACAAATACTGTCAACATCCTGTCCACATGGAACCCTACCTGCCATATACCAATACTATCCACACGCTGACCAAAGGGTCGTTGGAAGGTCAGACACAACTTGAAGGCATCTGATCGAATCTCGATGATGTTGTTTAACAAGGCACACAGGGCTGCTAGTGGGAAGGCTGATGAGAACAGGGTGATGTAACCAAACTGTATACACATCTCCAGGTAGTCATCTAAAGTATCTTCATACTGGGACACAGACATGGCATAGTTATAGTAATCTTAAGTATCTTCATACTGGGACACAGACATGGCATAGTTATAGTCATCTAAAGTATCTTCATACTGGGACACAGACATGGCATAGTTATAGTCATCTAAAGTAACTTCATACTGGGACACAGACATGACATAGTTATAGTCATCTAAAGTATCTTCATACTGGGACACAGACATGACATAGTTATAGTCATCTAAAGTATCTTCATACTGGGACACAGACATGACATAGTTATAGTCATCTAAAGTATCTTCATACTGGGACACAGACATAACAAAAGACATATTTTTATAAGGCAAGTAAAAATAGAAATCAGATATCTGTAATAATCAATCATTCCTTTTTGCATCTTCTATCTGCATCAATAAATTGATTTGAATAGAAGCTGTGAAAGTTTCAACAGAAATGACTTGATTATGACTGCCAACGATTTAGCTGTGAAAGTTTCCTAACAAATGACTTGATTATGACTGCCAACTATTTAGCTGTGAAAGTTTCCTAACAAATGACTTGATTATGACTGCCAACTATTTAGCTGTGAAAGTTTCCTAACAAATGACTTGATTATGACTTCCAACTATTTAGCTGTGAAAGTTTCCTGACATATGACTTGATTATGACTGCCAACTATTCAGCTGAGAAAGTTTCCTAACAAACCTGTACACCCTCAACACTGATTTTACCCATATGACTTATGCAAATTTAAACTTATTTCATAACCCAACCCATAGTAGTTGGTAAAGCATGATACGGTGTCATGTTAAAGGCGTATTGTTTACTTTTGGTAATCTTTTCTCGTGAATGAACTTTAGCTGACCCCAAGTTCGGTGCCGCGTTTTGGGTGTGGCTAATTAAAAATAGTCTCTCTTGACCTTGTTTACAGATAAATAGAGTATATAGTTTGTATTATTTGAATCCCTTAGAATAAAACTGATTGGTCGAGGTGCCTGTACAGTGTGTAAGCCCTTTCTAGAAAAGTCAGTAACAGTAAAACAGACTGTAAATACGCACAGAAGAGATGAGCAGCGAGAGATTTGCTTTACGAGACAGAGATTTGTTTACTAATATTTGCCGTGTGCATGTTCCTTTTTCAACATTGTACCTTTTACAACATTGTATCTTCTTCAACATTGTACCGGTACAAGTCATCACTGTACTTAAAGTCAATAGCTTTAGTTGTTATTTCTTTTTTATTTGGTAATTTATAATTAACTTAATAAAATTATTAATTGTAATTAGCCCTAATTTGGGTATCGTTTTCTTTATTACTGTATATAATTTATGGTATCGTCTTTGTTGTGTACTGTTTTTCAACGAGCAATATACTCAAATAAGATATTAAATTCTCTATACTTACAATGGTACATAACAGTCAACAAAGGTGGGTTGCTTTAAATAACTTTTCCCCGTAATTAAAGAGGTGAGGATTGCAGACAATACCCTGAGACCTGCAGACCTAACATATTTCCTAACTAATAACAAGAAGGTTGTATCTTAAGCTAAATGTCATTATTTGAGTCCTAAAATGACTAACTTTTTTCATTGCACTTTCTACTTCAGCTTGGGTTAAGGCAGGAAGACCTTCATCTTCCTCTTCTGTTACCGGACTATCATCACTGTCAGAATCATTGACGCCCTCCCGCTTGCCTTTATCTTTCTTGCCTGGCCTTGAGGCCGGGCAGTTGATATCTGGATCGGGGCGTGTTGTCATCCTCCGCACCTCCTTTTCCACCGAGGCCGGTGACATTCGTGTCACTATCCGGTAGCCGACACTGTACAGACGAGCTTTCCAAATGATGTAAGGCAACAAAGCTTCTTTCAGATTTCCCAGGACTTGACGTGTGATTAACAAAGCTGCTAATTGCTGACAGAGTAATAATGGGGAAAATTTTAATAATGATTTTTTTTTATCATATATGTATAAAAAAAAATAATAAAAACTGCAATGATGAAAATTACAATATATAAAAACTAAACTAGGAATATATTTTTGACAATGGAGAAGAATGAAAAATAATATTTCTCACTTAAAATTTTTTTCATTACCCTTTAAATTAATTAAATTTTTTTTTTTAAATTAATGTTTGTATACAAAGCTATTAACATTTCAATTTAAAAGACATCAATTGAACGTAAATTAGCATTAAATTAAGGCATAATTTAAATTAAAGAAATATAGACACAAAATGACACAGAGGGAAGTTACTAATATAAAACATTGAACATACATCACGAAGGCGATCCATATCACGAAGGTAAAATCCAATGTAAAACAAAGAAAGAAATGAGTTCACAAACTGGAACTGTTGGGAAAAAAATGCACTCAACTTATACAATTTTAAAAACATTTATATTCAAACAATTTCTATATTTGATTTTAAAGTTACAAAATATCCATGTCTTTATTTATTGCTCCTACCGTTACTATAGGTATTTTAAAAATAAGGGGGGAAAAAAGTGAAATAATTATTATAAAAAAAAACTTAAATGAGAGACTTTATATATGAGAACCATTGAATTTGTACCACAACTTACCAGAACTAATTTTATGATTAGACTTGTTTCATGAGATTCTTCCAGTCTGTAGTTTTCTGTGCAGATCATTTTCAAAAGAATTTGAAAATACCGGTATCAATTAGTGATCATGTGACATTTATTTAATTTTAAAAAAAAGCAACTTTAAGTGTAGTCTGAAAAAATAAGTTACAGGGGGTGCCAATATTTTGCAGACAACAGAAATTTTGTTATTGTTTGCTTGGTATCTATAGGTGTGTAAATTGGGATACTAAAAAAATTATTAAGGAGAGAAACAAAAATTCAGGTTTAATTTAAATTTAAACAAGGACTTCATTTTGAATAAATTTTGCCACCTACCTTGATGTGTAAGCCATATTGCTATTTCCTTGTAAATTTCATCTAAAATTGAAACAACCACAGCCAGCAAAACTTTAGGAACGAAACTGAACAAATATGGCAATTCTTCCTCAACAATCAGTCCATTCACCCACTCCTGGACAAACAGCAAAGGCAAAGAGATTTCAACTAAAAGTTTTCTTTTAACAAAAGGAAGTGACTTGAATTTATAATCTTTGCTTAGACAGTCAGGCTCTCTAAATAAATTCCTTGCTGATTAAAAAAAAAAAAGGTTATGTTTTATTCACAATTAAGCACTATCAGCCGTAAACAGTATTCTAAACAACATTAGTAGTATACAATACTCTACTAAATTATTCAACATTAGCAAAAATTAGGAGTAACACTCAAACTTTTTACATTTCAAAACTTTGTATTGATAAATTACCTGGAGCTCAAAGCACAAAAGCATGATGACAAAAACAAAAGCAAGACAAACTGCTACTATGGGAACGGTGACGAAGTAACGAAACAAAAGTCGTTTCCATGACGGGTAGGCTAGCTCAAGATGACCGGTGACTGGACTCTTGACAAGATCCCCCTGTCATGATAAATGATATAATATGGTTTGACAAAATGAATTTTCAAAATTAAAAGCTATGAATAAGCCTTTTCAATATGTCCAGGTAAAATCATAAAATACATCTTGTAATAAAAAAACCAAAAAAATTATACTGACCTTAAAAAGAGGTCTGGGATCTTTAAGCATTTCATCTTTTTTCTCCAAGGTGCCCCATCTATAGCAATACTCTGTTGAGGCTCTTTTCCAGAATTTGAGATACAATGTAGCCCACACCACATTAAAAAGAGCAAACCCGACATAGCAAAGATCATCAAAAAGCTGAATGAAATAAAAAATGTTAAACTTGTTTTAAACCAATAAAACAGATCATATAAAAATTAAGCTTCTAAATATCTGATCAGCATCATCCCTCTTAAGTTAAATTCTAAAAAGCCCTTAGTCTCTCTTGTTAATTTATTACTCAGGGCAAATTAGTGAAAAGCTAACACCAAACTCAAGGGCGCATAATAAGGGATAACAATAAATTAATTCATCCCTAAATTAATATTTTAGTGCATACTCTGACTTGTATTTTGCTCTAATAAAATAATACAAAAAATTGCAATATCATTAACATAATAACCTGATTTGTGCCTTGAAGCAGAAAGATGATGGTACCAACAAGGGCAGGTAGGATAAGCCAAGTTGTGTAGTGGCCAAGGTAGGCAAAGTACAAGCCTATCTTCACACCAAAGTATTGACAGACTTCATCTAAATAAAAAGAAGTTTATTTCACTTAAAATTTGAAAAAAAAAACAACAACAAATATATTATCCAAAATGTAGTTGTGTGCTCTCAAGATATGGCTGTGATTGCTGTCAGCTAATTTGTAATAATATGCACTCATATAGTAATCATGAAAAACTGGTACAGACATTCATATTTAAATTTACAAATAAATTCCTAACAAATTTACCCAAAGGCTGTGTTGAGAAGATGGCCTGGACCCAGGTTTGGCGTAATACTTTGAGATCTTTATGATTATGTAGGGGAAATACTTGGGATATCACTTTCTTGATGATAAGTAAAGGGACTGAAATAAATTAAAAATTCATTAAAAAGTATTTTTATTTTTCAATCCAAAAATATTTTATATTATTATTATTATTATTTATTATTATAGGTGGTTTTATATAGTGCCTAGGGCTGGGCTCACCACGCTCTACATACAATTTAACAAACATAATCATTAACTTAAAAATTAACATACATTAATTAAATAAAGAAAACAAATGTATATTCACTCCACACATTCAAGAACTATTTACATGTCAAGCCATGGACAGCTACTGAGCAGCATCATTTATCGATCAGAGGGTATATTGTTATGTATTTATCTTTAGAACAAATATGCACAAAAACTACATGCTACAGGAAAATATTGATACTTGAGTGAATTTCTTGCATGATCATCCATGACCTTGCTCCTATGCACCATAAGTGAAAAGAATAAGTTTAAAAACTGATTAATTTAAACTTTAACATTATTTTAATTCCAAATGTGTTTCAGTTGAAAGTTTGAAATAATTTGTTTTTTCATTTTGTAAATCATATCACATTTTTTATGTTTAAAAATCAATAGATATTATTAAAAGGCATCTAACCTATTGGTTGACCTTCAATGAACGTTATGCCAGCAAGTGAGTCTTCTCCAGTTGCACGAAGCTCGTGAAGAAAGTGTAGAACTATATTTTGCCTTTCTTGACTAGTTAAAAATGAAGACTCATCTTCAATCCCAGCGAAACAATCCTGGTCCTCAAAAACAAACTCTTTCATGCCCCCACCATAATCTGCTTTTAAGGGTTTCAATATCCCCAACTCTTCAGCTCCCTGTAAAAGACTGTGTTGAAAAAAAAGAGTAGACTTTTATTTCGTTTTTAGTAAAAGAATGACATTTTAAGCAAACTAAAAGAAAAAACCTTTTTCTGTTTAATAAATCATGCATATATTCCATTTTAAAACAAATACCAATAATTTATAATGAAGAAATAGATTACCTTTCGTAGACAGCGGTCAGGTAGAAGCCATATATTCCTGTGTGGCTATGATGTCGAACATGAACTGTAAGGGCTGGAGCTCGAGATTTAAGTCTGGCCAAGAGCCACATAAGTGTTGCATCTTCAGTATGTGAAGGGAATGTAAGGACCACATCACAGTTATGCGTGGGTATAGCTGGAAATAAGACTTTACTAGACACCACTAATCTCTTTGCCCCCAAAGATCTTCTTCCTAGTAATCTGTATGCTGAGATAAAAAGAAAATTATTTTTTAGGTATTTTACTTGAGGTTGCCAGTTTAGGAATGATTGCGCAATGCCAAAAAATATTTATTAAATTGCTTTGTTTTGTGTGGTCTTTTAATTGATAGGTTACGCATTTTATTTTGATTTATAGGAACAACTTCCCAGGCTACTCTTAATCTGTACAATGCCAATCAATTTTATGCTAAAGTTTCTTAACTAATGTTGTGCAGACTGGGAATGTAAGGCTCACAGACCGGTATCAGTCCATGAACACCATTTGAGCCACATTGAGATTTGGGCAACAAACTTTGAGCGTGCCCCTCAAATGTCACAGAAATGACAGAAGATGGTTGGTGAAGGTTACATTGTTGTGGGATTTTTACATTTTTAATTTTATGTAAACACAAGGAATGTTCAGACAAGCATTTTTTTAAACCCAATTCTTGCCATTCATCAGTCAGGAGTGTCCAAGAGGGGGGTACAGAAGTGTGTGCTTTGTCCTAGGCCTAGGGCTAGGTGCAAATCAAGCCCTGGTCATTGGTAGTGGGTAGCCTGGATTATAAATGAAGGACTGCATTCCAGCTGTGTGATAGGTATAGTGGAACAAGGCGGTATGTGGAAGCTTGAAATATAAAGACAGGACAATAAAAAGATAACGTTTTCGCTAAGACCTAAGAGCCTTCTTCAGCAGACTGCACAATGAAGAAACAACAAGAAACAAAAAGTGTTTTAAAAAAACTTTTGTAGTTCCCCATTATGCCCAGTTCAAAATTTCTTTTTGAACCCACTCTGACTCTTTAGTCTTTAGTATTACAAAATAGTGCAATCAAAAAGAAATTTATTGCTGGATTACCCAAGACTAAATTATTCAACCTATGCACAGAGTAAATCTTTGAATGCAATGAATCTTATGTCAGTAATCAGTAATAATTCACTGATGAATTGGAGAGCTGATCCAGTCCAGTGATTGATTGTCAATAAATAGATTTATTGTATTTTAACAAAAAACCAATTAATCAAATAGGAAATGAAGAAGCTCAGAAATGAATAAATGAAACTCAGAAATGAATAAATGTATTGCAAATTTATTAAAGTTTCGGCTGATTCCGTATTGCATGTTTGCTACGTTTACTACTGTAAGTCGGAAGCAGTGAAATTTATTTTTTTTAAAATTTAAATTACAAATTTTTTATTTTTGTAAAGGTTATTACGTATTCGATGACGAATGAAGCCATGGTGACTCCCATCTCTTTGTCTCTCAGAAGATCTACGTTCTTGGTCTTTTTCTTCCGAAAACATAATCAAAATAAATAAACTACTTCAAATAATTGTATATGTTGTGATGTTTTTTCAATTTTCCAGCTGAGAGACGCCATGTTTGTTTTCCTTCTAAAATATTGATCTATATTTAGAACACGTAGGGTCATTTTTTTTAATGCGGTGATCACAATGTTAGGTTACTAATTAAATTTACTATAAATGTTATTCCTAGTTGGTCAACCGTCAACTTTATTTAATTTTTTAAAATAATTATATTTCATATTGTTTTTACTGTTTTTGTTCTATGAAGAAGGCTTTTTACTGCACGTTCGTTGTTCATTTCCTTTTACCTAACATGATTGAGATTGCAGTCTCTCTCCCTTATTACCATTTCCATATGCAGTTTTATTTTGTGCGTATTAGTATTTGATGGTTATGTTCTTAAATGATTACATTTACGTTTATTTAAGAGTTAACCTTTAAATGTGATAATGTGATGAAATTATTCTTAGAATTTCTTACAACAGAGGTCTAGAGCTTTATTTTTAGCACATATACATCCAATGATTCTCAAAGAGCCATACTTTTTAATGTTATAGTTTTAAAAAATCTCATTAACATTAATATATTTGAAAAAAAAATTACTACTCTTATGCATGGGAAAGTGTAGTGGTTTGAAAGTGTGCTAATTTTGAATGTTAAATTAGGAGAATGTTAACTTTAAAAAAAAAAGGAGGTTGGGGTGGGGGCTAAATAAACATTATATAAGCGCTTCCTTCCCATTTTTGATACTTGAACTTTGATCCACCTACACCCAACTGCAAAATGTCCATGACTGTTCCTAAAGATTATGAAATCCTAAACATTATTTTCTGACATTAAAAATATAATTTCCTTACCATTGATGATACTTTTATAAATAGAAACTCTTCCAACAATTAGAATAAATCATTAAACTTTAAATAAATATATGAGCCATGAAGCAGAAAAAAAATAAAATTAATGTTTAAAATATTCTACAACATACTTAATGATACTTTAACAGCAGTAAAAGCTGTAATAAAGCATCTCAATGATACTTAAGACTTAAACGTTTGGGTGTATTTTTTAAGAATATGATATTAAGAACAAATTTGGGGAAGTAACTAACTTAAAGTTACACCGACGGTGACAGCCCAGCCCAGCTGATTTTTATAATCAAATCCTATTTTAAACTATTTAAAATTATAAAACTGAATAGGCCTACTTAGATGGCAGTGTAGCAATAGATATATCTAACAAGAAGTTTAGGTACCGAAGTTTAACAGTTAATCTACAAATATGGGATGTGTTACATCACAGGTAAGAAGTAGGAAATACTAGATACTACAATAGCAGTATAAAAATAAGCAGATTCAGATAGTCTGATTAACTTCTTAGGACTACTACTACTTTCACTAGTGCCTATGCCTAGTGGTCGTCCATTGGTAATCTACCACTTGAGCGTCGGCCAAGAAAAAATCCAGCTGTTCCGGTTGGAAGGGCTATTTAAACAATTATTCATATACTATTTTTAATGACATTGGTTGTGCGTATTCATTCCCATAATAATAGTACTAATACAAATACACAAGAACATTTTTTTTGTTTAAATCGATAAACTATTTAAAAAATTTGAAATAGAAAAATTTAAACAATTTAATGTTTGAAAATGGAATTATGCATAGTTCACCCCTAAGGCGACAATGAAGTTTAAAAAAATATAAGTTCCACGAAATCGGTTGTGGTACATGAATACACGTAAATATGAAGGGGAAAGATCACGGCTTGTGCCAAACTGTCTTTTCAGTTTACGCTTTTTGAGCATCTACGTTTTCCACATTCTGTGTTTGGACATCCGCGTCATCTGGATAAAAAAAAATAAAATAATTTTGTTAATGCACCATCTTAGATGCTGAATAAGGGGTCTGACAAATTCAGCAGTAGTGTGGACAGCCACCATTCTTCTTCATTTCGTATCTGACCTGTATCAAACATTTCTGACATCGACACTTTTGTAGTCTCCTTTTCTTCTTCTTCTTCTTCTATATCTTAAGGGCCCACGATCAATTTATTGATCATTTTGGCTCCTATGCATGTAGATGGGATTTGCAATGTTTCTGTTACTGGTGGTGATGAGGAAATTATGCACTAGGGGTTTGAAGGCTTGAGGCAATAGACACAACTCAACTGTTCCTTGGCAGTAAAATTTGTTTAAATGTTTTAATATTGTGCTGTATAACTTTATAGCCTATACTATGCGGAAGCAAAAATATTAACAGACTCCAATGTAAGAATAGTTGTTTAAATAGCCCTTCCAAACGGAACAACTGGATTTTTTCTTGGCCGACGCTCAAGTGGTAGATTACCCGTCCATTAATTATGTCAACAATTGTTAAGCAATTGTTGACCCCCCCCTCTCCCCCCTTGTCAACAACTGTAAAACTTTCAATGACCCCCCTCTCCCCCCTTGTCAACAACTGTCAAACTTTCAATGACCCCTAATTTAGGAAAAACATTTCTTTACATCTTTAGCTTGTTAATCAACAAGCTAAAAAGTTTTTACACTTAAATTTTATAACAACCCACAATTATAGTATAGTTTCTAGCTGCTATCATCTTCACAAGGAGTAGCCAGGTTTTCTCTAATGTAACAATGGGCATCAAGGACATCATTTTGGTAGGGCAGGGGGACAATGGCCACCACCCCCTAATTTGCAGGTTTTATTTAAATTGCTATGTACTGTGGCGCCTCGAGTAATAAACAACTTAACAAGCCGACCAGTCAGTTTTTTGTTTGGCAAAAGAAAAAACATGAAATGACACCCCTGATGGGCATAGTCTATATTAGCTGATTGATCATTTTCATCTTGGGGCACTGAAATACCAGACAAGTCAACATCATCCTCATCTAACCATTCAGCACTTAAAATAGAAGCATTGTTGGTGTGAGCAATAATTGCCATGAGCTCTCTCTATCTCTTTGCAGCTACTTGCATTGGTCGAATCCTTTTTTGTTGAGGAGCAGGTGGTAATTTCTTATGCTCAAGAAGGCATTGTCCGTTCTTCTTCTTCTATATCTTAAGGGCCCACGATCAATTTATTGATAATTTTGGCTCCTATGCATGTAGATGGGATTTGCAAAGTTTCTGTTACTGGTGTTGATGAACATGCTTTTTGAACATGACTTGTGATGCAAAATAGATGTTTCAGATTTTGCAAATCTGTTCAAGCAGCGATGTTATTATTGTTACTCAATTTACATTCACATAATTCTCAAAATATTGTATTCTTACTCTATCAATATAATTTATCTTGACTGCACATGATTCTTGAACCTTGTCCTTGTTCCATAGCTGGAACAGAATCTACAGGTGAAGAGAGGCCAACATTTGACTTCTCTTCTGACCAGCCATCTGCAGTGCACAGACACACATTCATTAAATAAATCTCATATTGTTAAAAGCCTAAACATTATTTAACTTTTTAAATTTACACTCATTAAATTTGTTAAAATAATTTAATAACCAGTCAATTTTTAAGATTAACATTTTACTAGAGACAACAAGATTGTTGACGTCAACTAATCTAAACCCCCCTCCCTCCCCCTTGTCAACATTTCCGAACCGCCTCCCCTATTTTGTTGACGTAATTAATAGACGCACCCCAATCCACTGTTACTTTTTAAAATGAAGTTTATTGTACCATTTTTTAGATAGTAGGGCTTAGGCTTAGGGCTTGAAAAAAAAAATTGATTGATACCAAATTTATGGTTGTAGGGTTGTAGTAATTGTATGTAGGTCAATTCAAAATGTAAAGAAAATTTTTTTAAAGTTTCATTAACTTTTTTGGGATAATTCTGTTTCTTTATTGAGACATATTATATAACTTATATTATAAGAAATATTAAAGTGACTAAAATAAAAATTGGACAGAGAATTTTTAAGAGAGCTGACACTACTTCATCATATGATTTTTCGGACAACGTACGCTTGACGTTTTGCACCGAAATGGTGGAACCGCGAATAAAGAACTTTATAAAGTGTGTAAAACTATAAGTGTATTTTATGAAACTGTAACTTAGTTACTAACTATAAGTTGGGTTTTCATTATTTAAATTTTTTTAGATGAGGGAAGGGAGATGCTTCTTGCCCCATATTTAGAGGAATACAATAAAGTTGCTACATTCACCACAAAATTAATTTACCTGCCGAAGTTACGCCAGGAAATTGGGCGACCATTAAATATCAATGTTTTGTTCCTATATTTGTTTCTCTCTGTAATTATTAAAACAGCACATGCTCTCTCCCTTCCCCACCTTAGGAGATGTGTGTTTGTATTTTTTTTTTCCTTCTCTGCCGTTATCTTGTTTGTTATGACACAAGCTGTCATGGCAACAAAGATGGTGGCTATGGTAGAATGGGGGAAAATGTCAAGCCTACAATTACAGATTTTTCTTATTTTCAAGCTTTAACAAACAATGGTATCCAGGGAGGTTATGTAGTCGGCATATCCAAGTGGTCACTGTTTTGAAACATTAATAAAATTGTTTAGGTAGGGTGGAGGGAAAATTTATTTGCCCATTCTCGTAGATAAATAGATGCTTTAAACGGTGGTTATCATGAAAATCGTGACGGCTGGAGAATGTACAAGAAATTCAATGTAGACTTAGCTTAATTTAGTTTCTTATACTTTTCAAAAGCAATTCTTGATACAAAAATCAGAAAGCACTTTATTGTTCAGGATTCATTTCTCTTTAAATTGATAAATCACACAACCTATTTAACAAAGAAATAATCACAAAACCCCTTTTACTAGCTGCATATGCAATGTTTTTTACATTTTCACACATAATTCTGTAGTAGAAAAGTGATTTAATGTGAGTACCTCACTATTATAGGTTAGGCCTACAAAATGAAAATATAATTTTGGTTTAATATCAATAATTGTCAACTCAATCCATACAATTCTCAAGGTATGAAACTGAAAGAAAGTATTGTGTAAAGATGAGTTCAATAGCATGCTAAATAAAATTCCAGAAAAATCTGAAAAATGAGATTCTTAAAAATATAGCAATTGCATTAGTTCATAATATTTTCTCTTGTTTTACGGG